TATATTATTACATTCAGTCAAATTCTGTACAAATTATATTCACGGAAAAGAATTTCACTCATTTAATGAGCTTGAATCAACTTTAAAAATAAAAAGTCTCGAGAAATTTGAATTTTTTGTAGACTCCAACACTGGAGGTTCTCCCGAGTATTTGCAACAAAAATTAAAATGATCTGTAGAACCGTATACTTTGTATACAAACAACTTGAAAAAACATTCTAAAATCAAATTCAATTTCCGTTATACTATGGATATTCTAAAGCTTTTTTAATCACCTAATTTGAATTTTATGTCAAATTTAAGAAATTGAAAATGGCAGATCTAATATGGCGACTAAAAAATTCAAAAAATGTTTAGATTCTCTTGAATATCGATACATTCATTTTTTTGGTTTCTTTAATTATAAATTTGCTATCGGTTTTTAAAAATTCAAAATTCCAGATCCAGTATATGGCGATAAAAAATATAGAATAAATAATATTTGTTCGATTCAAGGAAGATAAATTAAATGAAACAATAAATTTTCATTTTTTTGACAACGTTTCGATGGACTGGTTCGCCATCATCATCAGGTCACTTGGTAATGAATTTGAAGAAATTCCTTGGTGACCAAGTGACCTGATGATGATGGCGAACCAGTCCATCGAAACGTTGTCAAAAAAATTAAAATTTATTGTTTCATTTAATTTATCTTCCTTGAATCGAACAAATATTATTTATTAACAATATACGGAAGGATAAAAAATTATTTTAAATAAAAAATATAGAAATTGACCAGATCACATAAAGGGTTTCACACAGTAAAACATGAGTGTTGTTAATAATAAACATTTATAAATAGATTTTTTCAAAGTGAACTGCAACCTCTAGAATATTTATTTGCGAAACTCATGAAATTTAAATTAATTCTTTATAAATGTTACAAATGTCTCATGCAATGTTTAATAAACTTTCACGCGAAACAATGAAAAATATTGGACATTAAAAGAACTGTTCTTTAAGTTCCACGAGCTTCAAAACTAAAGATTCCGGAGGTTGCAGTCAAGTTAATTTTAACTTTTAGGAAATTTCCGTTGCATTGTGAGTACACGGAGAAAAATGGAAAAATGATTTATGCAGTCAGTGTAGTACTCCTTTATAGAATAATATGTGACAGGTACACACTATAGTATTAGAAGTTTCATAGCTGAACAGTTTGGGACTCAACACAAGTTATCCCATTCATCAGCTTAAACAAGACTGTTTATATAGTCTAAGAGGGAATAAGAGTATAAAAAATTGGAATGAGAAATTACTTTCTCATGTAATTATTAAAAGAACGCGGCAGTGTACAAAACACAAGTCAATAATAGAAGCGAATATTGAACAAATAGTACTCAGTCCAGTTCTTTCGAAAAATGAACGCCGTGCACATAAAGTAGATACCTACTCGAAAACCACAAGTTATTCTCTCTCTCTCACACTAATGGTCGTTCACTTATCTTACCGTTTCACTTACTCTTACTACTCTCAACTATTATGCAGTGCAGTTAAGTTCATTAAATTATTAAATATTGCTGTGAGAATAATTAATTATACATTTCATTCAAGGTCAATTCACTATTTTGTACACGAAAAAAAAGAATAATCAAATTTACCATGAGGACTGTCAAACTTAAAAAAGGTTTCAAGGTTATTAAGAAAGAATTAATGTTTTTTATTTATTTATTATTAAATTCTAATAACCGTATCAAATTTAAACTAGTTGACAATATTATTTATTCAATATTATGAATATTGTTGACATCCATACTTACATTAATTACAAAGTAAAATCCACGCATGATCTAATTTATTTCATTGGTAAGGGATGTTTCTTAAATAGGAAATTTACCCCATCGATTGCGTAGCCGAGAGGCTTAATGTAAAAGCGTGCGATTTATAATTATATGCGTATATTTAGTTGTATGGTTAGGTAGGTGTTCAATCCCGTATGATTGTAAGATTTTCCGATGCATTTAGTTGTTAATTGTAAGTATGAAGATGTGGGAAGAATAAAACTTGTGAATTAATGCATATGAATATATAAAGAGTGCATTTAACATATTTTTCTTTTTTTTTTAATGATTGGTTATTGTTTTTTTATATAAAATTGACGAAGTGAATAAAAGGAAACACTCGTTTCGCGTCGCGTCGGACATTTATTTTGACAGGTTCCGCGCCTGCGTTCCCTCATTGTGAAAATTTCGAAGTAGGGGACTGAGTCCAGTTTCTCTACTATGCACACTGCAGCGCGCCTTATAATCTTCGCCTGTGTTTCAATGCTCTTTACAGTGACATTTGGAACTAAGGCCCTCTATACACTATACGCAACACCCTAAGATGCTTGATGGAAATGAATTAATGTACTCTTACTGGACTGAGTCCAGTTTTTTCAATATTGACTCCCAGTTTTTCAAACTCTATTTTTCTCAGTGTACTTATGAAGAATAGAATACAATTTCCAAAAACTCTTGAGTATCAAGTTTCAAGCGAATATTAAGTTGTTATATTATATTGGATCTGTCATTTTGAATTTTTGAAAATCTACATCGATTTCATAATTAGTGAAGCCAGAAATTTCCAAATATCGAGATTCAAGTAAATCTAGACTTCGCAAGACTTTTTATTTAAAGTTGGCTCAAGCTCACTGTGAAATTGAGTAAGTGAAATACTTTGAGTTACTCAAAATGATCCTGAGAACAATTCTACGTTAGCTAATCTAATAAAAAAATTGATGTTAACCGCCTTTCGTGCCCCCAGGAAACACAAATTCAAAATGTCGAATCCAATATGGCGGACATTTTTTCAAAATTGCTCTATGCATAAAATTTGTTTCTCGGGGGGTTTCAGGGTCGTTGATTACGAATGTAAAGTCAGATTTTCGAAATTCAAAATGGTAACCCTGAAAAACCCCGAGTAACAAGTTTCAAGCGAATATGTGCAATTTTGTAAAAAATGTCCATCAACTTGAATTTTGATAATTTTGAAAATCTGACTTTAGATTTGTAATCAATGACCCCGAAAACCCCTGAGTAAGAAGTGTTAAGCAAATTTGAGCAAATTTTGCAATTTTTTTTTAACAATATTCTACCTATTGTTTATAATAATTATAATAGTACTATGTAATTTTTAATTTTTTATATACCTATAGTAGTTACGTTGGTGATTAAAAAAAATATATTAATTGTTAAAAGGTTTAAAATTATAAGAGTTTTATTAAATTTTGTAAGTGGTGCATATATGTACCGGAGGCGCGAAAGAGTTAAAAAACCATAAAAAGTAGTCGAATCTACAAGAAATTTCTTAAATGTACACTGAAAAAAATTTCTAGTAGGTTTAACTATACTTTTTAACTACTCTGCGTGCTTCAATAGGTCCTCAACTGAATTTAAAAAATTATATTGACTATCGAAAAGTAGTAAAAAGAACTAAGAATGTAGTTGATGTAATCAGATTTTGTAGTTGTTCTTGAAATTTAACTACTTTTTTTAGTCATCTGAACTATTATTCTTTAACTACATCAAAAGTAGAATATAATCAACTACACAAAAATGGTTAGTAAAACTGAGAAAGTAATTAATTTAACAACTTTCCACTTAACTAGGTAATAGTAGTTGAAGATTTCGACCAAACTTGTTCACATATTTTTTTGGGAACAGCGATTTTGATTCGAAAAGAAAAATTCATGTAAAAATGTAGCTTCTTTTGAAGTTTGATTGAGAAAGGGAAGATAAAAAAATAATGTAACGTTATCTTTTGGATCGTAGTCTTCATGATTTTACTTTAAAAGACTCTTTAGCAACTTGGAGGGAAACTACTCTCGTAAATAGAGCTTTTCAAGTGGTCCTTTTCTTCTGAAAATGTCCCATTTGTAAACCAATTTGCCCAATGTTGCTTTTCCTTGTCGCGTTTTACACTTTTCTATATACATATATACAAGTGTAAAGGGAAGTTTCCCGCGACACTTTTGAATATTAATTATACCCATCCTCTTGTTAATGATTTTATCATCTTAGTTGTGGTATAAGAGAGAAAATTTGCATCGTATAACGGAAATCATTCTCTTTAATAGGGTCTTATAAAAACGTTTCTATACGCATAGCGAATAAAATGTATTACTATATATGTATTTTTAGAAACTTAATATAATAATAAGAAGATGGGAGACATTTGAGACCCAATTTTTTATTATTCTTTTTTTCTCTTTTGCTATTAGTATGCCTTTTTCTTTCACTTAATTCACGAGGCATTAACTATGTTTGTGATGAAAACGAGTTTTGGTATAGTATAATCTTCGACCAGTTGATGATTTTACCATTTTTACAATTGCGTCGAAAATGTCTACTTAAAGCGGTTCTCATTTGAGTGTATTTTTTTCACTTAAGATTCTTAATATCTTCATTTATTTATTTTTTTTTTGCTTATTTGCATATTATTTTCAATAGACATAAATTTCATCGGGTGTATTTTTTTGTTATTTGCAAATGTATTTGCGTAAAATTTTGTCGTTAATATGTCTTGAATTTAATTTAACTTTTCTCCTTTTATTATTGAACTTGAAAATTTAGTAAATTATTTATAGTTATTTATTAATTTATTTGTATTTTTAATAGTATCTATTATTAGATGAATAAAGTAAATTAATTAAGTTTGATTGAAAATTAAATTAAATTGAATGAATTGTTTAGTTTTTTAAAATTAATAATATATGTAATAAAATTAAGCAAAAACTAAATTTAGTTTTGTAAAATTATTTTTGACCTTAAATGAAATTAACTTAAATTTTCCCATAACTTTCATCTTGAAGTGAAACTAAATTCATTCATAAAAGCTCCTTTCTATAAAAATGTCTTACTTTATTTCTAATTTTTCAATCCAATTACAAAATTAATTTATTATTTGTTCTTATAAAGAAGCTATTTTTACTGTTATAACGAGAAGAAAGAAAGTTAACGAAACGTTTTTTGTACTTATTTTAGGGTATTATCAGCCGGCTGGACCACTGATACAGCATCCTCCGACGTTACCTCCAGTAAAAGGACCACCACCGGAACCAACACCAACGCCTCCGCAAAACTCGGAAAGTTCCGACGACCTCGTCGTGACTTCCGCTTCAAGTGGGACCAGCGGTAAGAATAATTCACTGCGTTTTCTCCTACTTTTAACTTCATTTCCACTCACTCCACTTGAGACTTGCTATTTTCATTGTGTCTGAAAACTTGTCAAGATAGAATACTATTCGTAAATGGTTGTCAAAGCTTCTCAGTTGCATTATCGAGAGTGATTTTTTTACTTTTTCATTTTCTTTCCTCTTTATTTCTTCTTCTTCTTTTCTATCTCCTTTTTCTTTGTGCCTTTCATTATTATTTATTCTTTTTTCTTTGTTTTTTCTGCTTTCTTCTTTCTCCTCTTCTGCTTTCGTTTTTTGTCCTTTTTCATTTTTCGTCTTTTATTTTTCTTTATTTTTTTTCATTCTCTATTCTTTTGTTCTTTTCTTTACTCTTCTTTCTATCTTCTATTTCTTCTTTTTTTCTTTTTTTCTCATTTGTTTTCTTTTTTTGCCATTGTATTTTTTTTCATTTTAATTCAACTTTTTCCTTTTTTCTTTCCTTTTTTATCAAAAGTGACAAAATAAAAGTATCCTTGCCAAATTTACAAAATCATAATTTTTCCAGTGATTGTTTTTCTACAAATATGTAATTTTTTTTACTGAATTTATATTATTTATACTTATTTTCTTTTTGTTTTTTTTGTTAAAGAAAAGCAAAAGGAGAAAGCAAACAGAAAGTTAAAAATGATAAAATGTTGTGTAGGGATTAAATTATTCCGATAGGACTTTTCGTGAGTGTTTATGGTTGACTCGTGTGAAATTTCAAACGAAATAGAGTTTTGGAACAAGCTTTTGAAAGCAGCTTATCAATATAGTAGTTTTAGCTTCGTGGTTTTGAAATTGCCCTTCGGGCATTGCAAGAGAACATGTATTTTAATTCAAAAAATAATACGTTTTTGATATTTTTCTTTTTCTTGTTTTACTTTTTCACACGAATTTGAAAATTAATCAAACATAATTTTGTTGTTTAATTTTTAGAGACAGAAAATTTCAAATAAACAAAAAATTCAAAATTCGGTAAATAGTTTAAAAATAAAAAATATATGGGCAATTCCACGTGAGATTTTAGTCGACCTCTTAAAATTCGCCAAAAATATTTTTTTTCTATTCTGTATCGAAAAAAAAACAGATACGTATTTTTTTATTTTTGTTTAATTGTCCAAATTTTCGAGTTATGAATTTTCGAAATTTTGAACTTTTAATTGTAGACCTATATTCAGAAGCTAAATATAGGTTTGCAATTAAAAGTCCAAAATTTCGAAAATTCATAACTCGATAATTTGGACAATTAAACAAAAATAAAAAAATACGTATCTGTTTTTTTTCGTTATATATAGGTATATATATATATGAATTCAATTCAGTATTAATTCTATTGTTAATAAATTCTGCATCAAGTGGAAATTTTGCTTATCTTTAAATTAAATAAAAAAATGTTAAGAAATTTAATATTTAAAAAGAATTAGAAAAAGAAAAATTGTTAGAATTTAAAAAAATGTCTTATAAAATAAAAAAAGTATATTTTTCAATATAGTTGGGATATAGTGGCATAATCGTAATTTTTAATAATTTTCAAATTATTTTTTTAGTAACAATATCTAAATTTTATGTGATATCTTTATTTCTTACAAGATAGTACTGTAAAAGTTCAAAAAAATTTAAACTTAACGTTTAATATAAATTATAAATTAAATAAATACCTCCTTGATGGACACTAACGTTTTAGGAATAATTCGGTAAAACTTTCTTGACTTGCCTAAAGTGTTGGTTTTCAGAAATAGTTTGGTAAAACTTCCTTGACTTGCCTAAGGTGTTAGTTTTCTGGATTGAAATACTTTATTTCAAGTGTCCCACAGTCAAATGAAAGACTTCCACACTAATAGTTAATTTTTTCAACTTTTTTATACTTAATTAATAATCATTTCATTATTAATTAAACTAAAATTCAATTAATTAATTATTTTAAACACTTATTAATTGTCAAATATGTAATAAATTCTTTTAAATCATACAAGAAGAAACTATAAAACTGCAACAGCGTACTTTTTTTTTTAACATATTTATTCTTTTTAATTAAATCTAAATAATAGTAAGTAAGTAAGCAAACAATTATGCAAGCAAGTAAACATAAGTAAGTAAGCAAGAAGGAAATAAGTAAGTAAACAATTAAACTTAAGTAAGTATGCAAGTAGATAAGCAAAAAAGTAAGAAAATAAATAGATAAGGAAGTAAGCAAGGAAGGAAATAACTTGCTTGCTTACTAGCTTACTTCCTTATTTGCATACTTACTTGCTTATTTCATTCTTGCTTACCTTCTTATTTTCTTACCTTCTTCCACATTTGCTTACTTGCTTAATTTCTTATTTCCTTCTTGCTTATACTTGCTTATTTCTTTCTTGCTTATTTACTTCCTTATTTTCTTACTTATTTGCTTAGTTGCTTATTTTCTTTTTGCTTTTAAGTACCTCACAATTATTATTTAATATTTCAGAAAGATTAATTTTCTATTAATTAATTTAATAATTTCGAACTTGCACTTTTATTATATATTTTTAAATTTCAACACAAAAATTTGAGAATAATAAGGTTTTGATAAATTATTCTTTTATTCCATTAAATACAAATTTAAACATTTTTCTTTATAATAATAAAAACATAATTTAAAAATATTTCATAAATTGACCTTGAATATACAAATGATTCATTAATTTAGATAATTTTTAATTTTGTACAACGATAGTTTATTAATTTGAATTTTTTCTCACAAGCGGTGAAATAAAATTGAGATTAATATATAAGGACAGTTGAAACTCTCTGAAGCAATAATGTAAAGCGTGCGATGAATGTATTAGTGTATGCGTTTAGAATGTACTGTAGGCAGGTGTATCAATTATTTGTTCGTAAACAATTGTAGGGGGTTTAGGTACCCAACGGGAAGTTGCCAATGTTAACGATTGGTTCAATAATGGGCCATGCTTGGTACCCAATGGTTTTTTCTTGGCAAAACAATTGGCAACCATCATTGGACCACCAATGGTTTAAACTTGGGATGATCACGCTACTGCCAATGATCGGTAGCCAAGCATCGGGCCTATATTAGTTGCCAAGGAATTGCCAAGGAGACAAAATCGATTTTCAAAAGCTTGATTTTTTATTGGCAGCCAACAAAAAACAAAGGTTTTGAAAATTGATTTTTTTTAATTATTAATTAAAATTTATTTTTAAAAAATATATTTTTCAAAAATTTATTTTAAAAAAATATATATTTTTTTAAATTAATAGAACATATTAATTTAATTTGTCACCTCTGGTAAAACAAAGATGAAAGACTGATAAATTCCCTCACTTTATATTTTACAGTGGAGGGATGACTGTGAATGTCTTTGCGAGAGAGGAGCAGGTACTTATATAGAGCCAGTGAGAAAGGTCACAAGCGAGAAGAAATCACTAGCATGCACTCTGGCGGCGCTTGTCGGAACTGTTTTCTGGCGCGCATGCATATCCTGACGTTATCGACACAGCGCTTGGCAACCAACGTTGCGCCACTTCCGACAAGCGCCGCCAGAGTGCATGCTAGTGATTTCTTCTCGCTTGTGACCTTTCTCACTGGCTCTATATAAGTACCTGCTCCTCTCTCGCAAAGACATTCACAGTCATCCCTCCACTGTAAAATATAAAGTGAGGGAATTTATCAGTCTTTCATCTTTGTTTTACCAGAGGTGACAAATTAAATTAATATGTTCTATTAATTTAAAAAAATATATACCTATTTTTAAAAAATATATTTTTTTTTAAAATAATTTTTTGAAAAATATATTTTTTAAAAATAAATTTTAATTAATAATTAAGAAAAATCAATTTTCAAAACCTTTGTTTTTTGTTGGCTGCCAATAAAAAATCAAGCTTTTGAAAATCGATTTTGTTTCCTTGGCAATTCCTTGGCAACTAATATTGGCCCGATGCTTGGCTACCGATCATTGGCAGTAGCGTGATCATCCCAAGTTTAAACCATTGGTGGTCCAATGATGGTTGCCATTAATGTTCCAATAATGGAACGGAGTTCGCCAAGCATGGCCCATTATTGAACCAATCGTTTACTTCCCATTGGGTAGTGATTGAAGTAGATAAAGTGAGATTTACGGCAGTAGGGGAGAGTGGGGCAAGACGGGGGTACCGGCCCTATTTAACAAACGAATTAACCGATTATATTTTACATAATACTGCACTGAGACGATAGTTTCTTGTTTACAAAACCTAAAAGCCATGAGAAAAAATATTTTATCTGTTTTACTAAAAAAAAACTGTTTTCGACGATTTTCTTGTGATTTTTTCACTTTTTTTAGGACGTGTTTATTATTTAATAATAACAGTTAATGAACTATATAAAATTTTTTATAACTGGCAAGGGTTACAGAAGAAGGGAAGCATATGTTTTTTTTTCTTTGTTAAAATCGTAAATTGTAGTAATTAATCGTTTTATTCAATTTCTTAGGTGCGGGCAAGACGGGGTACACAAATTAAGGTATTAGTCACGTAAAATGGTTTTCGTCAGATTTTTTTCAAATTTTGCATACTTATTCTTGAAGTATTTATCTACAGAATGAGACCAATTTCATTAATTTTGACCGTTTCAAAGCTTCAAAAAATGAATTCAAAGTTCATACATTTTGCATGGAGGGAGCACCCAATGCATGTATTGATTTTGTTTAATAATTATTATTTATATGATAACTAATCGTCAGATTTTGAAATAGAACTACCAAAGTATTCAATTAGATGAAACAAATAAATAAAAAAAACATGACATTTTTTGACCGCGCCAAACTATAAATATATTGCCAGAAAGTTAAAAAAATAACTAAATTATATGAATTTTCATACGAACGAATAGAGTGGGGAGTTAAACTATCTCTCTCACTCTCACTGCCCCAGTCTAGTAAGCGGCCCGGTAAATTTTTGACCAGAGTCAACTGCGCGACTAATACCTTAAGCAAAAGAAAAGCGAAATAAGAGAAGTTAAGAAAACTACTTAAATCAAGACTGAATAAAATAAGAGTGCCCAAAAAGAAAAAAGCTTGTCAGGTTAAATCACCAATTAGCGATGGTAAAGTGGAAAATACACCTTGTCTCTATTGTAATGGTTATTATTTAGACTCAAATGAAGGCTGGGCTGCTTGTTCTGTCTGCGGCCAATGGGCTCACTGCAGTTGTGCTGGTGTCGATGACGAAGATGCAACCTTTACTTGTAAAATTTGTCAACAGAAATAGGTTGCTTTTTTAGCACTCCATCTTACCCCTTAGGGTACCCCATCTTGCCCGCCGGTAGGGCAAGATGGTGAGATTTGCAATTTTTCCATATTTTTAATTTTATGCTTTTTTAAGAAACAGATGGCCTTTGTACGCCTTTATTACGAAATACTGATTCCCAAAGATGGTTATTAAATATAATAATAAAATATATATTTCATAATTTTCCTTTTTTTGCGCTTTAAACCTTAAGTACCCCGTCTTGCCCCACTCTCACCTATTAATATAGATCTACTGAACCCAATGGGAAATGCCAGTGTAGTGCCGATGTTCACCACTGGCTTAGTACTCAGACGATTGTTCGGCGTATTCTAGCCGAGCCTCGACAATTAGTGCTGGCGCAGTACAGAATTTTTGTTTCGCCAAAGCTTAGACAAGCCACGGCGGCAAGTGCTGGCTGAGTATAGAAAAATTGTTCACAACGCTCTTTGCCAACATTGCTTTTTTGACATAAACTTGAAAAAAATTATAAAAAAAGTTTATAAATGTTTATAAATATAAATTTATTGAAAAAAATTAATATTTTACTTTTCAGTTGTTCATTTTTTATTCTTATTAAATTTAATAATAACAATTTAACACAATTGTCTAACTTTGTAAATAATACATTATTTAAACAAATTAAAATTATAAACAAAATTTAAACTTTAATCTCAATAATAATTTGGTTCCTATTAAAATACTATTATACTTCTTACTATGAATAAAGTAATTTAATTTAATTATTAAAAATTTAGTTTAATTTATTATTTCTAACGTATCCCTATTTTTTTCTCATCTTTGACTCAATAATTGTATGTCTGAATGATACTGAGATATTAATACTTTTCTGTACACACGTGTCGTTAGCATAGTGGTTAGAGCGTTAGTCTGTAAGTCCGTAGGTCGTAGGTTCGAATCCCCTCGTCAGCAATTTTGTTTATTTTCATAGGTTTGCGATATTTCTAGATTCCAATCGTTAGGTACTAAAATATGAAAATCTAATGCACACTTACTGTAATTGTTTATTATTTAATTTTTAAATGTTATAAACAATTTTTTTCTACTTCATTTACTATATCCATTGTTAGTCTCCATCTTTAATACAATTTCTTTAAGAAGAGAAATATTTTATGAATAATAACTATTTATTAATATTATTTACCATTTTGTTGTTAAATTATTTATAATTATGAATTTACGACTAATTAATAACAATACGGCATTTATTGCGGCAATATTCCCAGCCAGCACTGGTCCAGTGCTGCGCCAGCGCTGTCTGGCAGCACTGACAGACAGTACTTCGGCAGCGCCAGACGGCGTTATCATCCCAGTGCCATGCCAGTGCTGGCTCTCAGCCTTGCCGCCAGTGCTGCCAGTGCTGGCGCAGTACTACGCCAGTTGTAAATTTCCCATTGGGAAGTAACATTATTTTTTATTTTTGTTCTTCAAGTTTTACCGAACTATTCAAGTAAATTGCAACTGCCCAATGGGAAATTTACAACTGGCGTAGTACTGCGCCAGCACTGGCAGCACTGGCGGCAAGGCTGAGAGCCAGCACTGGCATGGCACTGGGATGATAACGCCGTCTGGCGCTGCCGAAGTACTGTCTGTCAGTGCTGCCAGACAGCGCTGGCGCAGCACTGGACCAGTGCTGGCTGGGAATATTGCCGCAATAAATGCCGTATTGTTATTAATTAGTCGTAAATTCATAATTATAAATAATTTAACAACAAAATGGTAAATAATATTAATAAATAGTTATTATTCATAAAATATTTCTCTTCTTAAAGAAATTGTATTAAAGATGGAGACTAACAATGGATATAGTAAATGAAGTAGAAAAAAATTGTTTATAACATTTAAAAATTAAATAATAAACAATTACAGTAAGTGTGCATTAGATTTTCATATTTTAGTACCTAACGATTGGAATCTAGAAATATCGCAAACCTATGAAAATAAACAAAATTGCTGACGAGGGGATTCGAACCTACGACCTACGGACTTACAGACTAACGCTCTAACCACTATGCTAACGACACGTGTGTACAGAAAAGTATTAATATCTCAGTATCATTCAGACATACAATTATTGAGTCAAAGATGAGAAAAAAATAGGGATACGTTAGAAATAATAAATTAAACTAAATTTTTAATAATTAAATTAAATTACTTTATTCATAGTAAGAAGTATAATAGTATTTTAATAGGAACCAAATTATTATTGAGATTAAAGTTTAAATTTTGTTTATAATTTTAATTTGTTTAAATAATGTATTATTTACAAAGTTAGACAATTGTGTTAAATTGTTATTATTAAATTTAATAAGAATAAAAAATGAACAACTGAAAAGTAAAATATTAATTTTTTTCAATAAATTTATATTTATAAACATTTATAAACTTTTTTTATAATTTTTTTCAAGTTTATGTCAAAAAAGCAATGTTGGCAAAGAGCGTTGTGAACAATTTTTCTATACTCAGCCAGCACTTGCCGCCGTGGCTTGTCTAAGCTTTGGCGAAACAAAAATTCTGTACTGCGCCAGCACTAATTGTCGAGGCTCGGCTAGAATACGCCGAACAATCGTCTGAGTACTAAGCCAGTGGTGAACATCGGCACTACACTGGCATTTCCCATTGGGTGGTTCCATTTTACCGAACACTTTACGTTACGTTTTACTGAACTTCCAGTAAAAATAAGTATAGTGAACACTTATCTTACGTTTTACCGAACTATTCAATAAATATGGATGTAGTGAGCACTTAGCTTACGTTTTACCGAACTGTAAGGTTTATGCTTTTTACATTATTTTTCAATGGAATTTTTTTTACAGTCTAGTTCTTGAAAAATTACTGTTTCGACAGTTCATCACAGTTTTACCGAACTAAATTCAGTAAAATTTCAGGAATAAATTTTCTCCTTGTATAGAAAATTCCAACGACGTAAATTACTTACTTAAAAAGTTCTTAAATATTTTTTCTATTTTTGACTTGCAGGTGCAGGCTTTTACAGGGCGTATTGTCCACAATATTACGGAACCCCTCCACAGTATCAAGAACTTTGTTATCCACCTACATATACGCATCCACATCCACATCCTCCACCTTACTACAAATATCCACCGACGTATAGAAGGTAAGAGCATCAAACATTCTAAAATACTGGAAAAAAAGAAATTATTTTTATTTCCCCTTTGGAAAAATTTAATAATAATTGAAAAAGAAATAAATTAACATTTTCGTATTAATGCACCGTCGATGTCCCTTCCACTTTAATTTTTATGATAACAATTTAAATAAAATTATTTATATTTATTCCAAAATTTGAATATTTTTTAAAACTTTTTCTAAATTAATAAATTGTGAAGAATTATTTAAAAATTTGTTTTTAATTTTAATAGATGTCAATTATACCTATGTATAAAAAATTGCTAATTTTGCTAATTTAAACATTTAAATTATTTATGTGATGAAAAAATTTGCCGAATGATGAATGAATGAATAATGCTCGACTTATTTTCAGACAATACTATGGTTTCCAAGAGAGTGGTGGAGGTGGTGGTGGACCAGGAGGAGCCGGAAACGGTACCGGACCAGGTCCGGGTGTCGTCGAGTATCAACCGCCTCCGCCGCCAGGAGAATACCCTCTACCTCCTTATTATGCAGGTTACCCACCGCCACCTCCGCCAAATCCAGCATATTTACACGTTCAGGGACGACCATTCGTAGACCGTAAGTTTCTCAAAGAACACTTTAATAAACAAATTTTATATTAGAAGTAAAGTGAAATAAAATTACTAAAAATTTAGTGTAATTATGATTTCCACTAAATAGGGTTGCCATAGGTCAGAGAAGTCAGGGAAATATCAAATTTCAAGAATTACTATAAAAATTCTAGTTTTTGGTGACCGCAAAAACAAATTTGAAGACCTTACATTCTCCTTGAATTTTATATAATCTAAAAAACCTTTATCTTCTTTTGTACGCATTTTCAACATCTATCATGAAATTTAGAGCAGTTTTCAAAGGGTTGAAGAATCCAAAATACATCTGAAATAATTTAATTTTTAAAATATTAAAATAAAATTTTCTCAAATTGAAGAAAAAAAATTTCAGTTCAATTTTTGTAATAATAATAATAAGAATTGTTTGAATATTTCTTTAGAATAGTGCAGTAACATGTTTATAAATAAATAAATAAAGTTTAATAGTAAAATAATAGAATAAAACATAAAAAGTTGTAAAAGGACAGAATATAAAAATAAATAGAATATAATGATTGGATTTTTTTAGATGCAGCATTCCAGAGCTGTCCATGCCCGATGCAATCCTGTCCAAAAAACGTGGATACTGGGCCCCTTATTGGTAATGGTAAGGGAGCGCCAGTGGCATCGGGGCCCGGTCTGTCATTGCCACCCAGTGCTTTGGTAGGGCCGCCCTCGCCTGCGAGGGGGCTAGCCGGGCTCGCGCCTCCTCATGGTGCCAATGCCTGGGACACGGATCGCGTCCAACTCAACCCTCTTCGCAACCTCAATCAGAACCAACCCTCTTTATCGACCTCCCATAATCACGTCGGAAATCATAATCATACCCAAACCTCCGAGTGCAGAACCAAGGTAATTATTATTTATAATATTATAATTCTCCGTCACTCAGAGAAAAGTAATCTCGCATATAATTAGGAGGCAAAATCCTCTTTTAGCATCCTCTCAATTTATTCTCAAAAAACAAAAGTATTCAACTTTAATGCAGAATATTTTTAATCTTTAATGTATTTTCCAAAAGTTCTGAACATTCAAGTGAACAAAATATTTTTTCTCTATAAATATTCTCAAAAGTTACTGACTATAATAGAAATTGAAAACGTAAATTAAACGCCCTAAAATTTTAAAATGTGGGACGCAATATTATTCCAATAAAATTTGGAAATGAAATAGACGAATTTCGTTCATTTGAACATTCAGAATTTTAATGAAAATTTTGAGAGCATTCGGGAGAAAATAGTGGTTTCGTAAATTTCTTCTCATTTAAAAAGAAAAGAATATTTCGGGTTGGGATTTTTTGGAAATAATAGAGGAACGTATCTTGACACGCGCTCTTCTCGGAATTTTGCATAGTTTTTATGAATAATTATTGAAAAAACTGTTTAAATTCGGAAAGGGAGTTTCGGAAATTTCTTCTCATCTTCAGAGGAGAAATTATTTCGAGTTCATATTTGAAGGAATAATAGAGGATAGCCTACTGAGTGGAGCTCTTCTCCATTTTTGCAATAATATTGCGAGGAAATTATTTTATTAAATATTGAAAGTGAACTAATTCATTAGTTCATCAGCGGCTACTATAGCTCGAATTGGCGCCTTCTTATGGACTACTGACACATAGATCGAATTGCCTGTGTGCTCGACTCCATATTGTCTGTCAGTTTAGCCAAAAATGTAACTTTTATAATTTTGTTTTTCAATACTTATTTCAAAAATTACTTGCAAATATGGAGAATATTCTTCATCAGTATGCTTTCCTCTAATTATCCTGACAAATCCGATCAAGATATAAAAACATATTTAGAAGTGATATGAGATTGAGTCCACAACAGACAATTAGGATTCCTTAAGCAATGCATAAATACTCTCTACATCGACGATGAGTTGCTTTACATTGTTTTCGTATTGTGTTCTCTGCAGAGGCTATGCATTGCTCAAGATAAATTTGCCTCTTGTGGACTCAATCTGACATGCGGTAAAACACTTTTTTTTAGGGGGGGGTTTTCTGGATGCCCTTAATAATAAAAGAAAAAAGTTGTGTGTTATAATATGCCCTAATATATGGAAGAGGAAAGTCCTTTTATAAGAAGATGTTTACTTTTGATATGATGCATGCAGGGCTCGAACTAGGTCCGTAAATCGCGTAAAGGTCCGTTAATTTTTTTTTCAAGTCCGTAAAAGTCAGTTTTTTCAGAAAAAATTCCGTAAAGTCCATAATTTGATTGAAAAAGGACGAGAAGTTCGTAAATTGTACGATATAATTTGCAGAATTTCATAGAAATTACAAATGATTGCAGAAATTCAATTATTTTTAAAAGTAATAAAATTCTTCGCAGAAATTTAATTATGTTCAAAAATTTTAATAAAACTCTTGGCAAAATTTCAATTACTTTCAAAAATTTTTCTCAATTCAATGATTTTCAATATCTACTATTTTAATAAAATTTTCCAAAATAAATTCAATTATTTAAAAAATTTTAATAAAATTATACGCAAACATTTAATTATTTTCATAGTATAATAAAAATTTCACAGGAATTCAATTCTTTACAAATTTTTTATAAATTTCTTCGCAATAATTCAATTATTTTCATAAATAATAAAATTTTTACAGAGATTCAATATTATTTTCGTAAATACTAAAAATCTTTTTAGGAACTCAATTATTTTCACAAATAATAAAACTCATTGCAAAATTTCAATTATTTTTAATAAAATTTTAATCGAATTCCTCAAAAAATGTAATTATTCTTAAAAATTTTATTAAAATTCGTCAAAAAAATTCAATTATTTCAAAATCTGTTGATAAACTTCTTTTTGAGAATTCAGTTTTAAGAAACATTGAATTATTAAATAAATTATTGATTATAATTATATTTGTAAATATTATAATGGAAGAAAAAACTATTTCAAATCAATAAATTATTATTTATTTTTGTATTTAAATTTTAAATAATTGAATTCTAGTAGAATTTTCTAATAAAAATTGATTTAAAAGTGAATTTCAGTTGAAAACAATTAAATTTAAAAATAAAAAAAAAACTTTTTCAAAAATTATTAAAAATTATAAATTTATAGAAAAATTTTAATTAACACTAAAAAAATTTAATTTTGGAGAAGTTACAAATTATTGAATAAATTCAATGGTTTTCAAGAGTAATAAAATCTTTCGCAGAAGTTTACTTATGTTCAAAAATAATAAAATTCTTCTTAAGAATTCAATTATTTTCATAAATTATAAAACTCATCGCAGAATTTCAATTATTTTTAAATCAACAATTTTAATCGAATTTCTCGGAAAATGTACCTAATTATTCTTAAAAATTTTATTAAAAATCGTAGAAAGAATTGAATGATTTAAAAGTTTGTTGTTAAAATTCTTTATGAGAATTGAATTTTAAGAAACATTGAATTATTCAATAAATTATTTATTTTTGTATTTAAATAATTGAAACAAATAGATTTGAAAATTCAGAGAACTTTTTCGAAAAATTTAAAGAAGAATTTTAGATTTTAGTTAAAAGTTCTTGAAAATAATAATTGAATTCAAATGATGAAAATAATTTTGAAGAAGTACAATATTCTTGTAATATAAAATAGTGATTTTATCAATTTGCTATCTTTAATTATTATAAAACATAAAGAAATCAATCACTCCGAGTCGAAGACTCGGAGTTATCGATGTCTTCATGTTTTATAGTTATGAAAAAATTTAATTTATAGTTTTAAGTAAAATGTTCTCATATTTGACTAAGAATAGTTACATTTTTGTCAGTAATTGATCCGTAAAGTTCGTATTTTTAAATACTTTCACTGGTTCGAGCCCTGTGCATGAGAGGAAAAAATGCATTAAAATTATTAAATTAATTAAGATTCTTTTTTTTTTGGGTGTCATTTTTAATAAGTTCATTTTTTATTTATAAAGATACCAATAGTTAAAACACTTTAGTAGCTCATTATAAGATACGAGTGAGACACCATTTTTTGCAATGTTTTATTTATTTTTAAGCTGAGTTTGGCTTGCATGTCTGACTAAAGCTGGTCATCGACTACTTATTGTTTCAATGTCTATAATATTCATATAGTCACTGTCTGCAGTACAAACTAATATTCAAAATTTTATTTTTGGAAGGTATCTTGTCTGACCGCAAACATCATTTTCAATTTCTATTACTAACATTACAATATTTATTATTAGATTCAAATTTTGAATAAATATTATTAACCCTTTCTAAGACTCCTCAGTCTGATTAAAAATGTCTACATTTATTAATTTTTCAAACTTCTTCAAAATTACACTTCATTTTTTTATTTATTTATTTTTAATAGTATTTGAAATCTAGATTTAAAAAATTAACATTTCTGACTAAAACTGTCTACAACTAGTTTTTTTCTAATAAAAAAAGTAGTTACGATTTTTATAAAGTGAAAGCTGGGTCTCCAAAAACCGACGTTGATTATAAATTGATAATTGATAATAAAGATTAAATCTGTTTTCATTGAAATAGAAAATTTTTTAAAATTCTTCAAAATAAAGCATTATTAGAAAAAATAAATTTTTTATTTTTGTAAATAAATAAAATAAATAAATATTGATTGGTACTTTTTGTTATTTTCATTTTTTGTTTTTTTATTCAATTAATATTATTTCAGTAATTCTTAATTCAGTCGTGTAATTTATTATACATATAATAGAATAAAATATCTATGTCGTAACATTTTTATGTCTGACTATAACTGTCCGTTACTTCTTAAATGAACTTTGGAACCTTACAAAGAGTGCGATTCATTATTTTTAGGCCAAAAAAGCTCTTAGCAGAAAGTTGAATAAAATGATAAAACGAACATTTTTTGTTATGAACTTACATTTAATTGTTTATCTGATTAAAATTGATCGTAACTACGTTTAAAAGTGTACAGATCTTAAAAATACAAAATTAATTTTCTAATTTTTATAAAAATAAAAATGATCCATTTTTTTGGGGGAGCTTTGTATTTAATTATAATTGATCGTAAAAGGTAGTTCTATATTTCATTTTTATGAGACTTTAAAACAAGACAGTTGATATCCATAACTGTGATGCAATATTTCGCTAACAATATATCTTACATAATTATAATTACAGTATATGTAATTATATAATTATTCAATATTAATTTTTTGATATTTGGTTAGCAATATTTCATAAAATGAAAGAAATGAAGATTTTATAAATTTTTTTTGGGATGAAGTCTCTATTTATTTTTTAAGTAAATATACTTTTTTACAGGATGAGAAGAAGTGTGTCGAGAATAAAATTCGGAAATGCACATGCCAGAAACACGCGTGCACATCAACATGTGAAGTTAAAATGGAAAGTTTATCGCCATCGGAAAAATTGTCAACACCAACAACCTGTCCAAGCACCAAAATTCACAATTTCAAACTCGAAAACAACAACGTCAAGTGCGAATCATGCAGTGTGGAAATTGGTGTAAATTTAAGTTGCGCAGCAAATTGTAACGTGAAATGCGAATCTGATTACAAATGTGAAATATTAAAATGCGAACAGTGCGACAAAGACGGACAAATATCAATGCTCGACATGGACAAAGATTTAGGAATTCTTCTTATTGACGAGAAACTCGAGAACGACACCGAAGTCAAAGAAGAACTCAATGACGTGGTCATTATTGACGGTGAAAATTGGAAGAAACCCGATTATGAGCCAACGGTGCCGGAAACCGTTATCGATGACAATGATAAACCTTCCACAAAGACGTTGATCGTCGAGGAAGAGCCAAAAACACAAAAATTAACCAAAAGAAAACTCTCGCTCGACAGTCTCTCGGATTCGCGGAAAAAGAGAAAAGTCAATAAGCGAACACTGTCAGTTGGTTCCACCCGCGATTCAACAATCAATGAACAATCGCAAAATACCCCACCACAATTGAACGGTCTCGTCGCAAACAACACCGGCACATCTGAAAACTGTCCAATCAAACGAAAACCCCCGAAGAAAGAAATTCCATGCTCCAAACGTAAAGCCGAAAACTCAAATACATCCGAGATACCAGTGAAAAAATTAAAAACATCCAAATCAACAAGTGGCACTAATGACGCCACGAAAACACTAGCGAGTCACACATCGATCATGGAAACAATTAATAATGTCATTCAACAGAGCGTTCAAATGACCGAGAAAAAGGATAAGAAGAATAAAATATCCGATCGTGTTGCCGAGAGAAATCGAAAGAATGCAAATTTAATGTCAACAATTAAGAAAGTAACGCGAAAACTCGAATTAAATTCAGTGATCGATAAAATTTTACCACCAAAATTAGAGACCACCTCAACAATGATAGTTATGACGAGAAATAATAACAACAATAATCAATTGAAATCTAAAGGCGAAACGAAATCCAAACCCAAAATACAGGATGCCAAATGTAAAAATAAGGTAAAGGCTAAATTATTGGAAGTTCAATCAAAAATTTCGGATTTAAAATCAAATTTCAAGTTGCAAGAGGCAAAAAGTCGAGAATATTTGCCAAAATTGAGATCTAGTGAAATTATCGAGGACACGAAGAAAGCACTTCTTATCAAGAAGAAACGCAAAAGTACAAAGAAGACTTCCGGTAAAAAGACTGGTGGCAAGTCAGAGGACAATATTGTCGTTAATGAGCATTTAACCATTGCTAGGAAACCATTCTTCAAGCCCAAGTGGAGCAACGGATGGAGCTGGGAGGGCAAAGCTTATGAGGCCAAAGTATATCTGACGGTAATTATTTTTTTTGTTCACAAGAATAAAGAGATCCCTAAATTTGGCCTTGACTCTTAGTGTCAAAAACTATTTTTCGGAATTTTTTACTTTGGTCAAGTTCACAACGTTTCTTATCAACGATTTTATAGAAAAGGATTTTTCTTTTTAAATTTTTGGCTAAAAACTTTTTGTAACAATAAGTATTCATCAATAATTCACAAAATAAAAATTTGTAAACAAAAAATATTGTTTTCTGCTTAAAAAAATTTTATTCTTTTAATCATTTGATCATAAACGTTATGAACTTTACCCACGTGAATTTCTTGGAAATTAAATGTCACTAACGTCACTGTTCCATTCGCTTATGGTGTTAAAACTTTTCAGGACGATTTTTGAATAGAAAGCTTTCAAAGAAATTTTTTAAAAACTGTTTAACTATTTTGTTTCCTTGAAAAAAAACGAATTTTTAAATGTCATTAAAATTCTGAATTTTGAAATGAACGAAATTCATTTATTTTATATCAAATTTCAAATTTTATTGGAATAATAATTCGTCACTTATTAAATAATAGTTCATAAAACTTCGGATTATTTAATTCATATTTCTAATTTCTATTTAAGTCAGTCATTTTGAAAATATTTATACTCTCTAAATCTTAATTAGTCACTTTAGACTAATGAAATTGGATTGATTCGTCCATTAAATGAATTAGTGTACGTTTTGACTAATTTTGACTCAAAAAGTACTAATTGATAGTAAAATACTACAAATTTATTTGTTAAGGCTACTAAATAATTTAGTAAACGTTACTAATTGTAATTCTTTACAAAAGAATTCGTAGTTTTTTACTAAGAATTAGTCAAAGCGCCTACTAATTATTTAATGATCCAATCAGTCTCATTTATATTAGCAGGATTGACATAGGTCAGAGAAATCAGGGAATTCAGAGAAAGTAAAATTGGTTATAGGAATTCTTCTTGAATTTTTGAGTATTGTTGAACTTTACAGAACATGAAATTGAATTTATTTAAAATAATTTAATTCTTTAAGAACTATCATAACATTATTTCTTATAAATTATATTTAATGAAAAATTTTACTTAAACATTCCGAAAATAATTAAATTTTAAAAGGCTTTGAATTGAAAACAGGTTTATAAAATTTGAATATTCAATAATTTTAATTAAAGATTCTAAAGGAGATAGATTTTGAAAAAATTTTTTTAAAGCAGTGAAATTTTTGAATGCATATTTGATTGAAAATTTTTTTGAAAAATCTAAATTTCGTAAAATTGAATTGTAAACATGTGGATTTCAGAATTATTTTAGCTAAAATTTTCGTTTTTCTTTAAATAATAGAATTCTCAAAAAACTGTTTCTAAAATTATTTAGAATAATTGATTTAAAGAAGAATTGTTGTTACAAATTGTATAAAATAAAAATTTGTTTGAAAATATCTTTATTTGTATAAAAAAAGTAAAAATTTTCTTTTAAACAAATAAGCATATTTTCGAAATGGCGTGCTTATTTAAAAATTTGAACGGTGGTTGATGGAGGATCAATTTTTAAAGAAAATAAACATATTGTGAATTTTTTTTTCAAAATTGATATTTTTGTTTTTCTAGAAAATACTATTAGTAATAATAATTTAATTAATTTAAATGTTAATTAATTATTTTTCTAGAGTTATAGATTTTCTTAGATGAACTACTTTAAACCAAAAATTTTCATTTCAGAACGAAGAATCAGCTATAAGAAGATGTTATGCAAGTATGAAACATACCAGTGGAGACATTTTGCGTCCCAGAGATTGCGTTCTACTCAGATCTGGACAACGGAAAGCTGATCTACCATTCGTTGCAAAAATTGCAGCGCTCTGGGAAAATCCAGACGATGGTATTAAACATTTTCTACAAGAATACAAAGATAAAGATAATTTTAAGAAAATTACTTATATTTAATTGTGGATGGAAATTTTGTTTGGATATTTAAAAAGTAGTTATGTTGTAAATTTTGTTTATTATAAATCCATAATTTATTATACTCCCAGCTGAATAAACTCAAGCTTTCGCCCTTCAACGATGGGCCTCTTCAGGAGTTAAGGTCATCCCAGTAATAAGGGGTGAATTAAAGTGGATTGGTACTTTTATGCCCTTAAATTCCAAACCAATTCCGTTTTTGTTCGCAATCTTAATGAATTCCTTTTCTATTGTTAAGTTGATAGTTTCTATCCAATTCAATTCTCTGTGACCAGAGTCTGAATTTACTTTAATGCCGTTTAAGGGAATCATTTGTTGTGGAGTTAATGCCTTTTAATTAACATTGAATTCTTTAAAGGGCATTAAAGGTGTTTCAAATTCTGGTCACGTGGTTACAGAGGATTGAATTGGATAGAAATTATCAATTTAACAATAGGAAAGGAATTCATTAAGATTGCGGACAAAAACGAAATTGGTTTGGAATTTAAGAGCATAAAAGTGCCAATCCACTTTAATTCACCCCTTATTACTGGGATGTTATTCAGTGGTCACGTGTTCTCATAGTAAAGTATATATGGAGCACGTGACCACTGAATAACAGGACCTTAAGTACTGCAAAAAATTAATTTCATTCACAAAAATATTTTTTATATAGCATATATCAAAAATATTATAAAAAAAAGAAAAAAGAAGAAAGAAAACAAATTACATATAACCTCAAAAACTTACCAAGCGGATATCTGTCACTAAACATAATCATCGAACAGTTTTTATTATAAAAACTGAAAATTTTTACATTTTATTAAATTTTAAAAAATCAAATATAATTTTACGATGCGACTGGATTTCAAAAACATGTCGCATTTATTAAAAAAACCTCCAGCAATAACAATCACATAATTTTATTTTAGACATCACATTGTCAAACACCTAAATCTATCTATGATATACGTGATATCTATGTTACTGACATTACCTGAAGGCGCTAAAATCCAAGAAAAATAAAAACTATGTATATAAAATAATGAATCATCAAACTATCAAGAACTTATAATTTGTATTATGGATTAATGAGTGATAAATATTACTCACAGAAACAATTTCTGACTTTTTATTAATAGAATTGTTATTTTTAATAATATGAAAACTTTTTTTAAATTTTCTACGTCTGAAATTGGTTTCATTACAAATTATTTTCACATTATCAAATTGAAAAAAAAGGTCATTGTCCTGTGAATGTACCACCAATGAGGATTTCTTTCTGTCACCATTTACTTATATTCACTTTAGAATTCTTTTTTTATTTCCATAAATTGTTTAGTTATTTTTTTTAATTTATATTTTGATATTTAAATACTAAATTTTTTCCATTTGGAAAAAATGTCCATAAGGAAAAATTTTTTATTTTAATTTCCTTTTTTAATATTGTTCATTCTGATTTTTCAATTAAAATCTTCTTAGATCAGTTTAAAGTTAAACTTTAAAGAAAAATAAAATAATTGTTTATTTTCAGGTGAAATGATGTTCTCATTACTATGGTACTATAGACCCGAACACACTGAACAAGGGCGCACGGAATACGATACCGAAGATGAAGTTTTTGCATCTCGTCATCGAGACGCAAATAGCGTTGCATGCATAGAAGATAAATGTTACATTTTAACGTTTAATGAGTATTGTCGGTGAGTGTTGACAACTTTAATTTTATCTTCAATTACTTTTTTGTTATTTAAATCTTTTCAAAATTAAAAATCAAAACCAAAGAAAGTTTAAATCAAAATCGTATCGTATCGTAATTAATTATTAATTAAATTAATAAATATTATAATTATTATTGATATAATAATAATTCTTATAATAATAAATATTAGGTAATAAATAAATTAATATATTTAATAACTAATAATTTTAAATTTAATTAAGTTTGTAATTTATAATAATTTTCTAATTCTGTATAAAAAAATATTATGTACTTTTTTATTTTGTGGAAGATTTTTAATTAATTTGTAAATATTTATTAATTTATTAATTATTAATATTATTCTGTATAGAAAAAAATGTATGTTAAATGCAAATATACATAAGAAGCTCTCATAAGTGAAATCATTGAATGAGATGAATAAATTAAATGAAAAATAATCATGAGAATAAAAAAAGTACAGAGCGTGTATCAATTTGTCAAAACATTGTAAATTATTAACTTTTCATCAATATTTTCAGATATCGAAAAAATATAAGGCGCATGGACGAGGGATTGGAAGCACCGTGTCTTATAGTTCCTCCAGGAGATCAAGCTTATCCGAGAAAAAATCGACAACCACCATTATTGGCGTCATCCGATATGGTTCTTTTTTGCAGACGTGTCTACGACTACAGGGGCAGGAAACTTGTCAAAAATCCTGGATGACTCGACTTTTTACAAACATCTGCAACTAGAAACCAATGAGACGCATCAACTTCATATATTCACAATTTTCAAGTTTCCCTTCAAACTTTTAATGAGAGAAAGAGTCATTCTCAATAATTTTCCATAAGGGAATTATTTTTTCCAAACAAAAAGAAAAAAATAAATACAATAATTTTTAATTTCTTCAGAAACCGGAAATTTTTTTAAAAATATTTTATTCACTAGTTTTTAAAGAGAAAAAGAGAGAGCGAAGCATAGAAAAAGAGTATAAAAGAGAATATTTTTTACAAAGCAGCAGTTGAAATGAATATTTTTTAAGAAATAAATTATAAACATTGTTAGAAGGGAAACTTCGAACATTTATAATCGACAGATGTGAAAAAGAAAATTTATTCAAAACACAAAAAAACAGAGAAGATGGAAAGTTTTTGAATGATGACGAGGGAATAAAAAAGTAGACACTTTCATCTATCTTTAAAAAAATACATTCTTCATGTAATGTGCATTTTTTTACTATCACGTTCAAGTGGATGACACTAGAGAAAAGAAAATTAATAATTTCTCGCAATTGTCTAAATGTTTAAAGGGGACTGAAAAATAAGTAGAAAGTTATATTTTGATTGTCAACCCGTCATCGCGACAATGTTCTCGCTATTTCTTTGCATTTTTTTTCGTTTTTCGTGTAGCTTTTAATTTGTTTTCGTGAATCTCAAAAGAAAAAAAATTTTTAAAAAAATTAATTTTAGAAAGAGTTAATTGTTTTCCAAAGCTTATATTACAAAATACTCTCATAATCCATCAGAAAGATGAAATGACTTTGTACTATATAACTTTCGATAATATTCCATTTATCAAGTTAATTATGAACTTTTTTATATTATTATTATTATTATTATTATTATTATTATTATTATTATTATTATTATTATTATTATTATTATTATTATTATTATTATTATTATTATTATAAATAATTGTTGTGTGGCGGGTGTTTTGTTAAAAAAATTATATTATTTAATATTAATATATTGCTATCGCTGATTATTATTAATATTATTGCTATTTAATATCTAATATATTGGACTTAGGTTGTAAGTTTATGTTCCGAAAGAGTGGAAATTGAGTATTAAAAAGAAACGCAATGGAGTAGGAAAAAAAGAAAGAAAAAGAATGCATGTGAGAGAGAAGTAGTTAATAATCGAGTGAATGATTAAAAAATGAGGACAAAATTTTTTTTGAAAAAAAGGAATACGATCGAAAGACCTCAAAAAAGAAACCTCTCCAACAAATATACCAAAAAATTTTTTTCAAAATCATTGTATTCCAATTTTAATATATTTAAAAAAATTAATTTATTAATTAATATGATTGTCATTATTTGCATGATATTTTAATTAAATATATGCAATCATATTTAACGAATCACCAGAAATAGTTTTCTCTATGTTTTGAGTAATGGTTTAGAGGTAATTTTGTATTCCTTTCATATTGCTTACAAAAAAAATAAATGTAAATTTTTGCGTGCAAATTTTAAAACTCCTTTTGAGAAAGAAAAACATAATTCTTCGGGAATAAAAGTCATGTATTTTTAGCAAATTGTACTCCATACTACATTCGCACTGAAGATTTTATTTTTATAATAATTTTTCAATAGAACGAAAGATTTATTTCCTTTTTTTATAATACTTTTTCAGTTCAATGAAAAATTTATATAATTTTTTTAGATTTTCTATAATAGAAATTGAATGCTGTTTTTAAAGTGAAATATTTTTAAAATTCTTTGCCTCTCTCAGTGCGAATGAAGGTAAAAATAAAATTATAAAAGGGGGATGCTGCGAAATTTTTCGAAAATGCGTGTAAAATAGATTTTTGTCAGTCTTCTATTGTAGTTTCTCGTTTTCCGTTCGAGCGTTTATCGACGGCATGTATGTATTTCCGATAAAAAAGAAAAATTTCCACAAAAAAAAGGTTAACATGGGAACATTGCACAAAAATGCATATCCTCTGTTTTAATTCACACATAGCCGACGAATTTCAACCAACACTGTATCCATTAAAAAAAATATCGATAAGTTTTTAGATATATAAAAGAGAAAAAAACAGAAGCGCTCGTGGTATTGTGGGGCATTTACGGGCCTAGTGTTTGCTTTAATCAAACAAAATGGCAAAAAATAAAAAAGTGTAATAACAAAGTAACTGTATGAAAAATTACGTACACCCGGAAAAAACAGTTTGTAAATCTTACAAAAAAAAATAATAAGAAAATTTTGTTAATGCGGTGCTTGATGGTTTGCTGCCTGTTAGTCTGACAATCACGCGTGTAATACTCAATTGTCATTGATACTCGAAAAGCAAAACATTAAATAGTTGCTGCCATTTTTTCATATACTTTAAGAGGACCTACACGTGTGATTGAAAGAAAAAATTATATATATATATATATATATATATATATATATATATATATATATATATAATATATTATTCGAATTTTTCGCAATTTATAGTCGACGTTGGTCTTTGTAAATTCCTCCAATGTGTTTCACTCATTTTCTATTACACAAAAAAGTATTTCAATACGATGTTTTAATTGAAAATTTAATAAAAATACAAATTAATAAAATTAAATTAAAATATACATTTGATATTAATTTAATCTATAAAAAATTATTTGAATTTGTCTATTTCTCTTTTACAACAAGAAAAAAACAATTAATTCTAAATTTAATGGTAAATAAAAAACTAATGTAATTCGACGGTAAAAAAACAATAACTCTTTTGTACTTTACAAAAGTATTTCAAAAAAAGAAGAAAAATACAATTTTAAGAAAATAAAAATTAAATAAATAAAGAAATTGAATTAAATTTGTTTCGATAAAAAATTGCCGAGACCAAATTTAACAGATCAAATATAGAAATAAAATTTCTACTGTACGTGAAAATTGTTGTTTAATTTTTTAAAAAAACGTTTTATTATATTGAATTCCACCTTCGTTTGTGAAATAAAATTTCGTGAAGTGAAAAATTAAGCGAAACACAGGGGAATAAAAAGTTTTCTTTTTAGTGAAGTTTGACCGACGTGAAATGCCTTTTTGTAGACGATAATCCTCTTGAATTGTTGTTTTTTTCAATAGTTTCACCTGTGATGTTAAAAGCGATGCAATGTGCACTTACAAGCGACTTAACGACGGAACGGACAAGACGCTAATTGCCTGTATAGAATTTTTGTCCGCTGTCTGCTTGAGTATTTTTAAATGTCGCGTTCTAGTGATTCTAAAAAAAAGAAGAAAACATAGGCTAGCAAGCCGGACAGCAATAAAAAAAGGAAAAAAAGAATAACCGCGAGCATACAAATACAATAAAAATGAAAAGGAGAATAAGAAACAGAATTATTTCTACACGAAATTTAAGAGGATGGTATATAAATTATATACATATACAAAATATATATATAAATATATATATAAATATATATATATTTAGATAACTAGAACGAAAATATATAAATATATACAAAATTCAAAAAAAGAAAAAAAAATGTTCTCAATTATTTAAAATTCTTTGCTGTCTCTTCATTTTTAATTAATTTATTAATAAACGACTTAAAATAACCACTTTTTTAAATTAAAAATAATTTATAAATTTTTTTATTATTATTATTATTTTTTTTTAGTACAGTTTTTAAATGGAAATTATTTTTTATTTTACAATTTTCTATAAAAGCTTTATAAAAACTTAATTATCAATAAAGACCAGATTTTAAAAAAATGGAAGTACAAATGAATAATTTATCTTTATTACAACTCATAAGCAGAGATACTTTATTTACATTATCATTTTAATTAAATAATAGAGATTTAAGTAAAAATAAATATTTTATTCAATACTCAGTTAAATGTAAGATTTTAATATAAGATATCAGTAAGGATTATACAATAAAACGCTACCCGCGACATTTATCTTTGCTATAGAATCCAAGAGCGTATACGCCAATTAAACATTTTCTCCGTGATGATGCTGGGAAAACTATTCATTTTAATATTAAAAAAATTCGGATAGATAAAAAAATTTTCACTTTAATTTTTTTAAATTATTAAAAAATTTTTAATAATTTAAAAAAATATAATGTTTATAATATTTTCATAGCATATAACGTACCTATTTATAAATAGATTATTGAATATTTAATTTATCTTTTTTAAAATTATTTACACGGAGAAAACTGGATATTCAAAAGTAGATATTGGAAAAATGTATTAACTCTTAACATCAAAAATATTAAACTTTAATATCTAGATATTCAAATCAGATACTATAGATATTAACGCCTAACATCCAGATATTTACTTTTAATATCTAGATAGCTGTCCCTATGTTAAAGAATAAAAATATTAAACTTTAACAACTAGATATTTGCCTTAAATATCCATTTTTCTCCGTGTATACAATTTTTTTTTATTCAAGAATTAAACTTTTAAATTTAATTTGAAAAAAATATTGAATTAAAATTAATAATTCACTATGTAAAATATAATAAAACTAATGGCAATAGTAAAAAATATCTAGTAACAATAATAAAACTCAATTATTATTGAGTAAGTATTCTATTATAGTATAATATATAAATGGCAAAATATTTATAAAAAATATAAATAACATTTATAAATATTTTTTTATTATCGTCCTTCATGTACACCTTTTTGGGTTTTTACATATCTAAATTCCCGCTATCTTCCAAATAAAATTATATTTAATTATATAAAAACATAAATATGTACTTTTATAAAAAGTAAAAAATTAATTTTTTTGTTTGAGAAAATTGAATTTTGTTAATGTTAAGAATCGAAAAAATACAGGAAGTAACGAAAAGGTAAATATGAAGGGGAAGTAGAAATCTTGTCCGTGAGATTGAAATTCGTGGCAGTCGCTTGTTAAGAAAGTTTCGAAGTTTAATCTTCGCCAAGGTGTTATAATCCGTAAGTGAGAAAAGTTATCACGCCTGATCGTGCTCCCCTTGCTTATATTCAGCTTAAATTAATTCAATTAATAGATGCCCGCATTGAAATATACACGATCTCCAACTCCTGTTATCATCAACAATCTTTATCATATCTTTTGAAACATATACATTAAATTAAACACACACAAGATCACCTTCAATTCTCATCAAACACGGACTTTCAAGAATGAAGAAAATTTCAAGACAATATAATACTAGTGTGATCTAAATCTAGATAAATGAATAAATTATAAATACTTTATTTACATTATCATTTTAATTAAATAATAGAGATTTAAGTAAAAATAAATATTTTATTCAATACTCAGTTAAATGTAAGATTTTAATATAAGATATCAGTAAGGATTATACAATAAAACGCTACCCGCGACATTTATCTTTGCTATAGAATCCAAGAGCGTATACGCCAATTAAACATTTTCTCCGTGATGATGCTGGGAAAACTAAAATTTAAGAATTGTAAATAAAACGTTTTATTTATGGGTCAAAATTCGTGAAGTGGGCAACTAATTTTCAGTTGGTCAATATTTTTCATGAAATTTATGTTTTTCTGTTTGAAATAATAAATAAAAAATACAAGTTGAACAGTTTTGCAAAATTCTTTTTTTTGTTGTACATATTGTTAAACAAACTTTTTTGCATGAATTTAGAAAAGTTTTTTTTTAATAAAGTAATAGGTAAAATTAAATGATTTTTGGTATGATTATATAAAAATAACACGATTTTTGATTAACATTTTTCATTTTAAAATTTAACGTAATTTGATAAAATTATAAACAATTTATTTAAACAAATGAAAATAAATGCAACTTCTCGATCTGTTATTTTATTTTTCAAAATTGAATATTGTTCCTTATTTAATGCCCAAGTATTACCAAAAAGAAAAAATTGGTATTTTACATTTGTTCAAAAGATATAATTATAATTATGTTAATAACAACAAGCATTAAAAAATCATAAAATCTAAAAAATATTTTTTTAGCTTCATTAATTAACAAAAATAATTAAAAAACCTATTAAAATAATGTTTGAGTGCGTTTATGATGTATGAAAAAAGTATAACAATTTATTAAATTGTTTGAACAATTAATTGTTGTTATTTTTTTAAATCTGCACTTATAGGGCTTGAAATTTCTAGTTTTTTCACAATAATTGTGCAATTTGTCATGAGTAAAACTAATGACTGGTAATGATAAAAAAAATAATTAATTAAACATTTTCTAAACAATTAATTGTTGTTACATTTTTCATAAATTGTACTTGGGATTAGAAATTTCCAGTTTTTTCTGTATTGTGCATTTTCTTGTAACTACCACATTTAAGTATTAAAGAAAAACAAAAAATTAAATATTTAGGTAAACATTGTTTAAACAATTTATTCTATTAATTTTTCAATTTACTGTACTTAAAACTATAAATTCCTATTTTTTTCTTAACTGTGACATTTTTTATATAACTTAAACACTTAAGTATAATAGAAAAACTAAAAATTTATTATTTAACCATTGTTTAAACAATTTATTAACATTTATTTTATTATTTTTTTTATTTAATTTTTCAGTTGATTGAATTTAGAAAAAAATAGATATTTCTAGCCCTAAGTACACTTTATGAGAAAAATAACAATTAATTGTTTAAACAATGTTTAATTAATTTATTTTTTATCATTACCAGATGTTTTACTCTTGACAAATTGCACAATTATTGAGAAAAAACTAGAAATTTCTAGCCTTAAGTATAGATTAAAAAAAATAACAACAATTAATTGTTTAAATAATTTAATAAATTGTCATACTTTTTTCATACATCAAAAACACTTAAACATTCTTTTAATAAGTTTTTTGATTAATTTTCTTAATTAATAGAGCTAAAAAAACATTTTTAAGATTTTATGATTTTTTAATGCTTATTGTTATTAACATAATTATAATTATATCTTTTGAACAAATGTAAAATACCAATTTTTTCTTTTTGGTAATACTTGGGCATTAAATAAGGAACAATATTCAATTTTGAAAAATAAAATAACAGATCGAGAAGTTGCATTTATTTTCATTTGTTTAAATAAATTGTTCATAATTTTATCAAATTACGTTAAATTTTAAAATGAAAAATGTTAATCAAAAATCGTGTTATTTTTGTATAATCATACCAAAAATCATTAAATTTTACCTATTATTTTATAAAAAAAAATTTTTTCTAAATTCATGCAAAAAAGTTTGTTGAACAATACCTATGTACAACAAAAAAACGAATTTTGCAAAACTGTTCAACTTGTATTTTTTGTTTATTATTTCAAACAGAAAAACATAAATTTCATGAAAAATATTGACCAACTGAAAATTAGTTGACCACTTAACGAATTTTGACCCTTATATAATTAACCATCCGTCACACACACCCTGTCGAAACGTTAAATACAATTTTTATTTTATTTTTTTGCCTGACTTGGATTGATTGATAACACAGCTCAACAAAAAAACCAAAAAATTTTACGCCTGGGTTTATATAATGATTTTTCTATTTATTATTCACTAAAATAAAAGAAAAATATACATATTCTTTTTAAAGTTTGCTTTTGTAGTAGTTGGAGACATGTTAAGGGGGGACATCACGAAAATTAGGCATATTTTAGGAATTTTTTTTGACTCAATGAAGTAGTCAATTAAAAATCTGTAAAGTACGTTTTATTCCATGAGTATTGATATGCAATAAAATATATTTTTTCAAAAAAATTTCATTACAAAATGGCTGCTGTGCACCATTTTATTGGAAGGCGTCTGTTTATTAGGGTTGCATCGAGGGTTCCATGGCCGGACAACTAACGTCCTCAATTTTTGATTTGGAAAAAAACCAAAATGTTGTCATTTTCTATAATCAACAGCTATCGGCACACGTAGGATTTTTTCGATATTTTGATTTTTTGCGAAATGGTGCGTAATTGAGCAAAAAAGTGACAATTTTCAAAAAAAAAATTCACAAAATTGTTGATAAAAATAAAAGTAAGTAATATAAAAAATCCTACTTGTGTCGATAGCTGTTGATGTATAGAAAATAACAACATTTTCGTTTTTTCCAGATCAAAAATTAAAAACGTTAGTTGTGTGGCCATGGAATCCTGAAACAAGACGCTTTTCAATGAAGTGCTGCACAGCCACCATT